TAGGGCCCTAGGGGGGCAGTCAGGGGACAAGGAGCAGGGAGGCTTAGGTAGGGGGTGGAGTCCTGGGGGGCAGTTAGGGACAGGGGTCCCAGGGGGGGACAAGGAGCAGGGGGGGTTGGGAGTTCTGAGGGGGGAAGTCAGGGGGCGGGAAGTAGGAGGGAGTGAATGGGGGCAGGACTAGGGCAGAGGCAGGGCTAGGGCGGGGCTCCCTGGGTGCACACCCTAATGAAATGGGCTGTGCACGCCTATGATTCTATGATCTGCAGTTACACCCGGCAGCCTCTTCAATATGAGCTAACAATGTATTAGTCACCAGGCATGCAGAATCTCAAAGTCTTTGGGTTAGCATGAGAGGATCAGGCTTAGGATATGGTTCCTATTTGTGGAAGCCATGGTTTTGCCATGCTGTACTTCTGTACTGTACCTGAGCCCATCCTCGCCCGCTCTGTCTCCTTTGTCTCCCAGTTCCAGGAGTGCTCTGTGTACCCTGCTCCTCTTAATGCAGACACCTGACGCCTCTTGTCTTGTTCTCCAGACACAGCCATGCTGTGTTCACATCCGCAGCTGCCTCTGCAGCTAAGTGGTAATTTTTGGTCATTGGGGTTCCTATTGTTTCTGTAGGGTCTTCCAGTCAAATATGTTGATTCCAGCCCAGACAGTTCTAGTGGCTGTATGTCTCACATACCTAACCTGATCTCCCATGCCTAGGGAGAAAATCAATTCTTCCCCCCATGGATAGTGATGCCAAGATGATGGGTACAGAGTCCTACAGATAGTGCTTACAAATAGTACAGAAAATTCCCACATTCATCACAAAAGCATTATGGGAAAGCTGTGAGGTTTGCTGCTAAAGACAGGGTAGTCCTGAAGCTCCAGAGCGCTGATGATTGTCGTAGGAAAACAAGCTCCAAAAGTTTGCTAAAAATCACTGCATATGTCTACATTTCTTGTTGTTTGGGGCCCATTGCAGGTGCAGCAAATTGATTTCCTGTATGAAGCAGCTGGTTGGCCTTTGAAAGCCTCCCAAGAGATTGCCGGAATCCTCCAAAATGGGGGGAAAGCTGTCGCCCAGATGTGGAAGCAGAGTGGAATCAGGCAAACCCTGAGGAATAACCTCCCACTTTACTTGGAAAAAATTCAAGACACTGTCCAGCAAATGCAAAATGAACTTCAAAGTAAGGAGAGCCATCTAAAGCAAGGGGGTATTCTGCACAGGGTGAGGTCAGTGCAGGAAATAAGCAGGGGCTAGAAAACTGAATAAATAAGATGCTGAATAGGTTTTATTTTGATCTATAAAGAAGCGCTGATCTAGACTCTGGGCTGTGATAGATTATTTATAAATATCTATACAAACTCCACTTCACATAGATCATAAAAAAACTGCCAAATAACCCTGGTTTAGCAACCCCTCTAATGAAATCCTGGAAGTATAGTCTGACTCATGCCCTGAAGGTCAGTAAATCTAGGCTCTGTCAGACTTAGGGCTTGTCTACACTTACCAGGGGAACAATGCATGGTGATTGATGCATCGGCAGTCGATTTAGTGGGTCTAGACCCGCTAAATTGATGGCAGATCACTCTCCCGTTGACTCCTGTACTCCACCTGAAAGAGAAGTACAAGGGGAGTCGACGGAAGAGCATCTCCTGTCAACATAGCATAGTGTGGACCCCGCGGTAGGTAGATCTAAGTACATCAACTTCAGCTATGTTATTCATATAGATCGTTATAACTTAGATCCCTCTCCCTCCGTAGTGTAGACAAGGCTTAAGACTGGCAGCGGATTCCTCAGTCAAGGAGCACATGCTGAAAATGCCACCCCCCACCCCCAGCATTTAAACCAAAGAACCATTAACTTGAGGACTAGACTGCTGGAACTTGTGTTAGCTAGATTCTGGGCACTGTACCTGTTCTATGGTTAGTATGCTGCCAGGCCATTCCGTTGCTAGCAGTTCACATGATGTTTCAAATGGATGACATTTGCAGTCAAACTAAGAGGAAAATCAAGTGAACTGTATTCATCTGTGATTAACAGCTGCCTTCATCATGGCACAAGAGAAAACTTCTAACCGAGTCACAGAATGTGATCTGTCCCCCTATTGCCAATACCAGGACTTAGTCCTTGGACTCAAGTTCAATGTGTATTTGTACTTTCGGTTATAATAACCAAATTGTCCCCTTGCTCCTCCTTGGAAGGTGCCGAGGTGGGAGGTAGAGCTGCAATGATAGAGCAGCCAGGTGCTGAGGCATTCTGCCCATGCAGGGCAGATAGGGACAGACTGAGGGAGCCCGAGGAACGCATGTTATGTAACATTCCTTACAGTGGATTTGAAAAAGCAGCATGCGCTCCCCACCATCTCAGTGTCTGCTGCTGGATGGTGGAAAGGTGGACCAGGGCCATACCTGTTTTCAATAGCCTGTCCTACAGAGAAGATAAAGGACTGAAGCACCCATCTCCTGTGCAGGGAAAGATCCCCTTTTCTCTCTCTTGCACTCCCATCCTCCCCCTGTGCTGGGGCAGTGAAGATTTTGTCCTGAGGTACAGCTGGGGACCACTTTAAAATCTAATTGCTAAGGTCAGTTTCACACTTGTTTCAGAGCCATTAGCAACTCTGAAGGATGCCTACTATGATGTGACTTTGAAGCCACTGGACGAAGTTTGGCAAGAGAAAACAGAGGCATATATGAAGAAAATCCAGGCTTTTGTGCCCAGTATTGTAAAAGATGTATGGTTAATGGAACCAATCCAGGTGACATTAAGAGCCATGAAAACAGGCTTGGATATGGTTAGTATAAAACAATGCTTCATTTTTATATGGGTCGGAGGGGATGGCTTACAGGCCTAAGCATCAGCTTTGAAATATCGAGTCTCTCTCTATACACAGGTCTGGTTCAGGTCCCACTCAGGCTGTTCAAATGAGATCTTACTAAAATTCAAGGTTTTGTCTGCTCTGTGTGATCATCAAGGGCCATATTCCTCAACCTGCTCTCAAACTAGCTACTAAAATTGCACCTAAAATTTTAAGCAACATTTTTGTTAATGCAAATCGCACAGGTAGATTTCCACCTTCCTGCTTTGTGCACATACCGCTAATATATGGGTATGGCTGTTTGCTAATTTTGAAAAAAGTGGCCTGGTATCTCAGTGACATGTTTCATATTAGAGGGTTGTCACTCTGGTATCTTTGGCCAAAATGACACCACTAGCAGTGTGCTTGTCGTCCACATGGTTACTGTCTTCCCACCCCAGAGCTACCTGTGTAATTCCTGTCAGTCTATAGTTTGTAAATAGCTTTGGGGACCTTCAGAGGTACGATATACCTAAAACTATTTAAAGGAGGTTGTCTGTGCTGCAGAACCAATGCATATAATGGAGATCTCAGTCCTCTGCAGTAGCAACTGTAGCACATCAACTCATTGAAGTGTTGGTACATGTTAAATGATATCATCATAGGAAGGCTGTAGTTCTCTCTGATATCAACATGGCTAACTTCTCATTCACAAGCTACCTCTAAATAACAGGATGACATGCTGTCAGGCAAGTGACAAATGGGAGGGAGGATTGAGTGTTTGTGAATAGTCTTTTGATATCAAAGCAACGTTCTGGCTGGTCCGAAAACCACGTTAATGTCACAGTTGATTTTATAATGTGCTGTTCTGGTTCCCCACTAGGCAACACACCAGATGCTGAGGTGGGCAGAAGCCAAGTTTTCCAGAGCCGTGAGCAAGATCCGAAAGCCTTTATCAAACCTGTACAGTTTTTCATCCAGGTAACAGTGGGTATTCCTGGATATGGGTATTCCTGCAGTATAGTCTTCTAAACAGATATTTACATTTTTTTTTTCACATCAAGTTACATTATTAGGGTACAGAACCAAGCAACTATCCTTGGACACCCTTTATACCAGTTAATATTGACAATGTAAGTTATCATCTACTATCATGGCCTGCTTTTTCCACTTCGGAGAATAAATATCCACCAGCAAATAGAATAACTCTGGAACACTCAGCCTTAAGTAGCACTTTTCTTTCCCATTTTATAACATTTGATACATTAACTGCATTGAATCAATTTAACACCAGTAACAACACGAGTGAATCATTTGTGTCCCACAGGAACTGTTCAATGGCAGTGAAACTGCCAATGCTGCCTAAAGGAGACCACTCTGTGGACCTGGCAAACATCACTAACTACCTCATTGAAGAAAAGCTAATGAGGCCGCTCAGGGACCTCTACAACATCAACCCAGTAGCTGAGTATTATAGAATCAAACAGAGGATGATGGAGAGTCCCTTTGAATGTAAGTTCCTTGACAGCTCTAATATATTTCTCAGCAGGTCCCAGTCCCCTCTGAGCTCCAGACAGAATTTTCCATAACTAGAGAGGATTGTTAATTAACACCATATTTCGATGGATGGCATTTTATAGTATTTTATGTAGACTGATATTTTGGTGGCATAACAGTCACCTAGCAGTAAATAAGCCATTTTTGTGAACTTTCAACTCTAGCAAATTTCCATGAGAATTTTCTTATTTTTTTAATTACATACCATACAAAAAAGCTGTGTTATAACATCACTATGTTGAGAAATGGGGAATGAGCAGGTAGAATATATCTATATCTTACCTACATCCCATTGTGATGAGGTCTCAGAGCATGCATTTTGGCTGAGGTAATATCTGGGTCTCACATTGAGGGCCTGATCCTAATTTCATTGAAGTCAATGACATAACTCCTGTTAACTTCAGAGTGCACAAGATGGCTCTGCAGACACTTCAGAGACCGCATTAGATAGGGAGTATTGCTAATAGGAGCAGTTCTCATTGAACATCTGACCAACAATTAGTAGATAACAGATCTTCCAGATACAGTAGTTTTTGGACAGTGTATCTCATGCTTCATTAGCTCCAATACCTGGGCAGAATGGAGGGCTTTAAAGGGAGGCTTCTGACGTAAGATTTTCAGGCAAAGAAAATGTTCTGATTCTGGCAAGCAGTTAATAAGTGCCACCCATTGAGCTCTGTGAACACCACAGTGACATTGCTTTTGCAATATCATCCTCTAGATCATGCTGTGCTGATGGGCAAAAAGCACTTTAGGACTTTTGATGGAAGAATGTATGATCTGACATCGAAGTGCAGTGTGCTTCTTGCCAAGGATTTTGTTCACAATACCTTTACTGTAGTGCTGAACCAGGAGAGTAGTGGCTTGAGATCATTGCATGTGGAGATGAACCGGACTACAATTGATATCTACCCAGGACTGAAGGTAGGAGGAGAGATTCAAACTTCATTCCTTTCCAGGAGAGAATAGGCCACACTGAAATCACTGCACTTTGACAAAGAAGCCAAACTCTGAATTTATCTGCACTTCAGACTTAGCATACAGTGGCTCACATAAGTTAATGCAAAGATAGGAAAATCCCACCAATACATCAGCAAAAGGGAATAGCCCTCAATAAGATAAACTAATACCATCAATCCTGGACCATATTCTGCCTGGCCCATATGTGGATACATGGGATGGGGAAGGCTCAAGGAATCTTTACCCAACTCTTGCATGGCCCATGTAAGCCAGGAAGAACTACAGCACCTGTGCTTGGAGAAACAAGCTGTACCTCACTCCTTGTGTCCACTTGGGAGGCTTTGTGCTTCACTGCTCCCTCAGGAGCTCCACACTATCCTCCACACGGGGCTGTGCATAAATGGCACCATCCATTTTCAAATGTGCAAACTGTGAGCCAACCCAGTAACCTGGAGTTGCCATTTCTAACATAAGTTATGTTCCAGATATTTGAAAGTACAACTTCATTGGGGAGTTTAGGGGAATCAACATCTTGCAAGGTCCATCCTAAGTTAGTTACTCTGAACATTTTTATCATCATCTTAAAATAGACATACAAGATGTATAATTTTTCCCTGATGGAAGAGAACTGCCTCAGTCTGGATCAGTCCCTTGAAAAGAACGGCATCACCGTGAGAAAAGAAGCTAACAGAATAGAAGTATTGAATGAGAATGGAATTTCTGTCTCCTGCAACTTTCACTATGATCTCTGTACTGTTACCCTGGATGGATGGCATCATGGTAAGTACTAAACATTCAGCATAGCCATTCCCTTCTGCTTCTAATTTGTTTCTTTCTCTCTCTGAATTCTAGAAACCTCAGGTTTCAGAATACAGGCTGCCTTGCATCAGCCTTTCCCTCAAGCCCTGGAGATGGCACAAGACACTGCCAGTGAATGTGATGAGGCATAGAATATGTTCCTATAGTAACAGCAGCAAGTGTTTACATAGAATTATTATAATTTTCCAGTTTTTTAATGGACTATAGCAGCTTGAGGTGCCAGTACCCTGTGACCAGCCAGTCTGAGAACTGCTGTCTAATATGTCAGATATAACAGAGCATATGAACGTGTGGTACAAAAGCTTCATTCTTTTGGTATGATTAACATACCCCACTCATGGCTTCACCACTCATATGTAAGGCACCATCCCAAACTCATGCCCAAACTTTACAGCGCACCACCCTGTATCTTTATAGACATACATGTCTTCTGTCATGGCAGCTCCTTTCTCTGGCAGGAGGGCAGAGTGAAAAGCTAACACATGGGAGGACAACGTAGCTCCCTCAACCTATTACTCTGCCAAGGGATACCATCCTTCTGGAACCCAAACATATCACCTCTGCATTACACCTGAGCTCCGTTAATCAGGATAGTAAAAGGCCAGAGGTGGCTTTTAAAACCAGAATTCTCCCGTGGCTCTGTTTTTATCTTCCTCTGCTTTCATTTGGTTCCAGGTGTATCAGCTGGTCTTTTGGGTACCAATGATAACGAAGCTGGAAATGAATGGATGCTTCCCAATCACTCCTACACTGATAGCGTGAAGGAATTCACACAGAGCTGGCAGGTATGCTGGCTATCTCACTGCTATCAGAAAGCACTGTTGCAAGATAGCTGTCTTTTGAGATCACATGTGGCACTTGGAACACAAAGAGTGCGACTAGTTAATATATATTTGATAGCATGCTCTCCAGGAAAAATGAACAGAGCTCATAAGCTGTACTACAGGACTAATGCAGAAAAAGGAAAATTCAGCTTGCAATGCCTGGCCAAGTTGTTTGCCTTTGAGAGCACCAACTCTGGTTGGTATTAACTCCTCTGTGGCCTTTCCACATCACTTACTAAAGAGCTTACTCAAAAAAAATACCCAAAGTAGATGATGCCACTGAGACTTTGTGGCTCTTCCCTTTCTCTTCACTTGCAAGACCATGACCTAATTCCACACCCAGAACCACTGCAACCATCTAACTCCAATTCAGGGCTTCTGAACTCTGCCCCACATATTAGGAGGGTTCAAGATATCTTACTTCTGTTCTGCTATTGGAGACTCAGATGGATTCTAATGAGTGTGCAGAGTATACTTATGTGGGTAATATGGCCAGAATCTTGGTGGGACGGACAGAGGTGTATTGTTAATGTAAACTATTTATTTATTATTAATTTCCTTCCATTTATTTAAGAATACATATTAGCACCCAATGCAAAAGCACCTGGGCAACTTGAGTTAGTAAAAATAATCAATTTAACACAATATATAAGAAACTTTTTGTAATACCGTAAACAAGCTAGGGAGGCATGCATGACCTTTTTAAGTGGTTGATGTCATAATGACTCTGCTTATCCTATTGATTGCTACATTTTATTTATATGCCACACAGCATCTTTGGAGTGCTGAACACTGCCAAGAAGAATCTATAGATGACTTTAGCTGAACTCTGTGTGCTGCTTGCAGTCAGTTTGACTCCTATCCCGTTCAGAAAAAGTAATAAAAAGATTGACTTGCTGATAATGTACCATTGTTATACATCATTAAAGCAATGGCCAGGAATACAAATATGCCAAGTCAGGAATTCATTCCAACTACTACAAACTTTTTTAAAGGGGTAGGATGAGACAATACAGTGGAAATAACCTGCTG